TCTGCTATCCTTGTTAAGTCTTCCACGTATTTCTGTTTATCTGCCCTAATGCACTTCTTCACTAAATTGTTTGCTTCTGTGTATTCAGTTTGTACCTTGACTTTCTCTGTTCTTGTTTGACTGTTGTTAATTGCTGTCTTTTTCCTTTTCTTCCTTGAATCTCGTCCAGGTTTTTTTTAAATTTAAGACGCGCTTCTAGGGACTTTTTTTGCATTACTCTATTTAAAACCCATACTTACATTTTTCACATAGTATTTGGAAACATTACTCCGTAAGTTAAATTCAATAAACTTCAGACTGTCCTACTAATGGTAACGCTGTTAACTCCATTTTTCTATTATCTTTTATTATAAACAAACAGTCACGTTTACTTACGAAAGTTTCATTTTATACTTATTTCAACTAAGTCAATTAACTTCACTTTGTTTTTTACTACTAAGAAGCAGAAAGGGAAATAAACTGAATTCAGAGAAAAATTCAGTCTTCAAATTTTTCACTTAGTATCTGGTATCATTTGAACGATAACCTATGAGTTGAAGATTTGGGCTATGTGACTCACTCAAAAGGTTGTCGATTGAATAAATGTTAATGAACTTATGTTCAATACATTTCCTAAGTGTACTTACTATCATCTGTATATAATGTAGATAGTCATTAGATTTATCCAAGTATTACTCTTAAATACTAAAACACGTAAACATTGATCTTATCATGAATTAAATTATAGTACCTTTTCAGATATTTCCTCTATTAATCTTTCATAAAAAATCTCGCTTTACTCAGTGAGTTATGTATTTAAGTCAGTGTATTGTGCTTAACCCACAGTCAACCATGAAGTGCTAAATTGAGTAATTCGGAACAAATTTAGAAAGGACGTACTCTATATTTGTGAAATACATATACAAGCTTAAGACATGAAGAGGTAATACTTGAAACGTCATGAAAGTTTTCGGGACATGTCGCAGAACTACAAACTTGTAACAGTCAAGTAATGTATTGCTTAAGTGGGGTTCGACTGGTCAAAGCCATACCACGAAATCTTTGGGTGCTGTTCTTAACTTGGAGAAATAGTTGAATAGAACACTAAAAAATCTCTTTTTTGACACACTAAGTTATATGGCTGAAAGTCAGTGAAAGCATTTTCGTTATATTCAGGTATGATTCCTCCGAATCCTAACTTATTATTGTTACTACAGATGTCAAGTGTGAGTTTCAGTTGCTTATTTTATACTTACTACTTACATTTGTTTATTTAGTTTGAATGCGCAATTAAATTATTATCAAATTGTTCTCTATTTCCGTTGTAATATTATAGTTTGTTTAATTCACCACATCTAACCTGACTTAAATGCATTAAGTAAAAGAATAAGCATGTCTTATTATGACAATCTAGATCATATTCAAACTTTTTTTGTTAAGCACTTCATTATTGAATCTTCAAGTACCCTACTGTTTATGGTCTAAATTGAACATGAAAGTTAGTAGAGATAATTATAAGTAGAATCACTCCAAATGTATGTAAATATGAATTAACAGATGGCAAAATACAGATTAAGCTAAAATATACATCGGAAACTCCACTGCCAGCTACCAAAATATACTGTCTAAGTGATAGAACCAATTTCTCAGAATCAGGTAGATTTTGTTGTGATAAATATTTCATGATATGTGGTAAGATTGATGACTTATTTCATATTTGGAATACTCATCAGGATTTCTCAGGCCGTATCCCTAACAACATTCATTGTTAAAATTATCAACATCAGGATGTACATATATTAACAGTTGGTGTTTCCTGGGATTTTATTAAAATTTATTTTAGCAACCGATGACAAATTGAGTCCGAAATATGACCACTAACATTCTTTGTATGTCTCACTTCAGGTAGAGTGTATATTTATCGCTTTTATAATCTCCTGCTTTTACCACTTTATACTTCTCAAGAAATAAAGTTATGATGAATGTTTGTTAAAACTAGCTAGTAACTCCCGACTCTTGTGATTTACATTCTGGTCTATAGATAGTTTTACAGTATTAGTTCTACAGATGTAAATGAAAACAGTACTTATTGTTATCACTAGCAAACAATGTTACTTTTTTAGCCAATGGTGCTAAACTTCACATAATGTAACAGTGATGATAATCAAACTAAGTATATTCATTTGACACTAATATCAGGCATTCACAATACCATTCAAATTTGAAGCCACAAGCATGAAAGTTTGGATCACTGAAAATTCATTTAAAGCTAAAAGAATCTAGAAAGGAAAAACGTTAGCTGTACACTGTCCATCCTGTAGCAAAATGTCTTTTACGGAAGCTATTTATTTGATGAACTTCTAGATGCTGACTACACACCGATAACATTAGTAGACGTAATACTATTCCCCCTTTGTCTACCTGTAACTTGACAAACTCACTGGAATTAGGCTGATATTTGCGAAAGCATGAAATATGATATTTCAAGTAAAACGTGACTCGGTGATTATACACTTTAAAAGTAAGTCGTGTTTATTTACCAAAACGGTTTTCTATAAAACAGCACACATCATCTACCTACGTGACTCTTATATAGGAATGACCCACAAATAATAGACTTGAAACAACCTAGTTTCTGCACCATTTCTTTTAACATGAAAATCCAACCGAAAATAGTATGTTAATACGCAAAGGCACAAATATCTAAAGTTAAGCTACATAAGTATTCTTTGTATTTAATTATTCATTTTTTGCATAAGACATACATGTCTTATTTTACAAATTACTTCTTTTCTAAATGAATATAACAATTGATGGTTTAGTATTATATACCTGTTTACTTGATTTGGAAGATACTTTACTAATCTTAATTACATCTATATTTTAAACTTTATAAAAGATTGAAAATCAACTTAATATAATGAAAATTATAGTTTAACCATCTACATAAATCAATAATCGAAAACCCATTGAAACCATTACAAAATTAGAAAAAGAAAATCAATTTGAAAAATATTTTTATTGCACTTTTTTCTCATTTTTTTGTTGGTAAAATGAATGCATAAACGGACTAGAAAGAGGAACCAAAATAAAACAGATACATACATAGTTTGTCTTATGTTATTTCACTTGCTTCCTAAGGAAGAAGTTCAGTATAAAAGTTATAAAGAGAAAAATGAAGGTCTATTTAGGCGGAGAGAGTAGGATAAATGGTAGCAGTAGTAATATATTATTGATCACAATTTATTTTTGATATAAAAAAGGAAGAACTGAAATTATAGTGGGAAATTTTCAATGATTTTCGCTGTTGATAGTATATATATATATAGAAATATTAAGAAAACAAGCCCTAGTGTAGTACAGTTGTCTGATTTTGTGTAATTTGACAATGTGAACAGAAATAAATAAAAAAACAACAATTAAGTAAATTGAAGATATGCTGATAGTAGTACTGGTATACATTGAGCTATAGTTTTGCTGCTGATTAACTAACAAAGTAAACTGATTGTTAATTTTTTTCTCTAAAAAAACAAATAATTCTGAAGTTTGTACACAACTGATTAAAATTTGAGGAGAGGGAAATAGTTCAGAGAAACAACAATAACAAATGATAACAGGAATGAAAACTTCTATCTTTTCGTTTTTTTTTCACAGTAAGTTTAAAAAGGTTTTTTTCCCTTGGATTTCCCAATCACAGATTGGTCTAATAATCAAAATTTATATTAGGATTATAAAAGCTGAAAAATAATGAGAAGGGAGGATATTTCAATAAAACGATAATAAAACGTTAAGACTTGAATATGCCTCGTCCAAGTTTCTGAAAGGAAATATTAAAAAAAATTAAATTAGAATGAAATTGTAACGAAACAATTAATACCAAGCAAAATGAATCAGTCAGAAACAACAAAATGAAATTTATCTGTTCATATGGATGAATTTGTTTTATTTGGATTTAACAGGGAAAAATGCACATCATTTATTTCATAGACTTCATGATGTAGGGTATATGGACCCCAAATGCCCTGGTACGGCCGAGAGTGGGGAGAGTCCGCTCTCACTCTCAAAATGCTCTTACATGGTCACGCGAATAAATAGCCTCTGCCAGGGAAGTCCTACTCACTGCCTTCTTGTGGCATTACTGTTGTTTACGAAATTGAGAGGACGAAAAGCGAATGTCTGGCGCTTCAACCGGGTTGGTGGATATGGCAAGTCCACCTAGGAGAGTTGGAAAACCCTGGTTCTAAATCAATGGTGCACATGGACTCCAGTATCCTGAAGGAACAAATGGCGTATGAACCAATCGTTGGTCACCGGTTATCATGGGACTGCATCTCCTTAAGATGCTCAACTGCCTTGTGGACCAGGCCTTCAGGTCAAAGGCTCGGAATGTGGCCCTGCTTCGGTTTGGACACCTGGGCAGTATCACAGCCCTCACACAAATCGAATGAGATTTGCGAGGCGCATATGTATCTGGTGCTTTTTTGTACCAATATTTATGTGTTTAAATAATAAATAATAATAATATGGACTAGAAGAAACCGTCATTAAAAAAGTTCTCGAGCTATATGATCTTAAGTATAAAACTGTACTTTTTCCAATATCTCTTGGGTCTTAGAGACACAAATGTCGAATGCTGGATGAAAATTCCCATCTAGTTATCCAATTATCATTGAATCACAAATGAAGACAATAATTCAGTATGTCAATACTACAAACAGATTTACATCATCCATTGACTAACTGGAAAATAATTTATAGATTCCAAACTTGTAAAGCTTTTTATTTGTTTGTTATTAGGATTTGTTGCTTAAATTTGTCACAACTAAGGCTAGAACAGTACATTATTTGACTAAGTATTGAGGGAGATTATAAGCCTTTAGAGTTGTGGGAGATGGTTTCTATATAGTGATCAGACTCTTGAAATTTATGAAGTTCAGTGTAAAAGAATCATTTTCAGCATATGGTACGCAGACAAAAACAATGAAACGAAGCTTTTAAGGAAAATGGACCTTTTTAATAAATTATTTTACAACCAGAAAGGCTAGTTCACTTATTTTTTGTGAAAAAAAAACATTAATTATGAATAGACTTACTATAAACCCAAATCCATGTTCGAAAAAATATCATTTAAATGAACCAGCTCTTCATCTATCTCTGTGATAGTTGAAAGAGCTGGAGGAGAAGATGTAGAAATGCTGCGTTGTGTGCGCCTTGATAAAGTCCACACAAGTGGTGGTGAGCTGCCTAGTAGACGGGATGAAGGGTAATCCTGAACTGTGTAGGATCCCGATGTTTTGGTAAGTGCTTCCTTTAATGTGGAAGAACATGCAATAACATCAGTCCAAGAAATCTGCAAAATTAAATGAAGAAGGATTAGTGAGTAGGCTTTTTAATCAAATCAGCCAGTCATAATGAACGTGGAGTTCAGGACAAATGTCCGTTAGCCTAACTTGCCATATAGACCAAATAAAAAAACAATAAAGCATTTTCTCAAGGTAAAAAATTGAATTATCATATAAGATGCTTGGTTATAATCTGCGTGATCGCGAATTCAAACTTTTTACTAGTTGCTTAATTTTAGTTACTGAAGGGTCATTAATATTTACGGAGTTGGAGGCCATTCGACTCACAACTATATCGTTGATTCGAACGCCGCTTCATATACCATTACACCTAAAGTGTGGCTCAAGAATGAGTACAATGATCCGAAATAGGTACATAAGTCATATTATAAAAAAACAATTCACAAAATAAGGTGGTTTAGAATCATATATATGAAACTGTATTTGGTGAACTTGACAGTTTACACCGTTTTTAGGCCGTGAAACATACTATCTGAAAAGATATATGGATTGCTAGAAATAATAATGCGGGCCCTTGAGGCAGTGCTCATAATTAATGAGATCATTAGTACTTCGCTGTTGAGGCTGAGAATAAGGAATTATGAGAAACTATAACCGAGATAGTTGACGAACGGATCCAGTTAGATATTTTCTCCAAAATGGGATATGAATTTATGGTAAATCTATTTATGATTCATGTTGTGTTTACGGGAAATAACTGAACCAAGTGCTGGTTCCAAAAAAACTGATTGGTGAAGTGAACTTTCGATTTAATCTAAAAGCATCTAGAGACAGCTTATCCTAGCGCACTATACGACCCTTCAAAAGAGAAGGTTGAATATAATGCTGATGGCTGTCAAACAAAGATATATCGTATGTCCATGACCGTTAGATTTGTTGGTTGAGTCCTGTGATATAAGAGCTCAATAGTCAAAGACTATAAGTCAGATAACTCGATATCAGTGCCAGTTGTCATAGCCAGATCATTTTTGGTTTTCTTTTATATATTTACCGTATTGTTACTGTGATTTCGCTAGCCTATTTTCCACTTTCTTCTTCTGAGGTTAGACGTAAGGTATTTGGTGAAGATGGCAAATCAGTTGAAGTGGTAAACATTTATTGACTGAGGTATCTAACCACCGCATGCCTAAATGCACGACATTTGCTGATGCAAGGGTAATTTGGAAAAAAAAACCATGATTGGTATTTATGTACTAGGTGTTGTAAATGTAAAAGTAGTTAGTTAACTTCCGCAATATAAACAACATACAAATAGGTTTAATCATAACTAGTATCGACAACCTACAAATGAGTTTTCGACCATTAAGTTACCGAACTGGGTATTTTCGCTAAGCTTCATACTATTGCTTCAAAGGGTTTGTGAAAATTTTGATAAGGTTGGAACACAACATGAGTTACAGTACCCAAAATGCGAAGCGCCTCAACCCGGGAATAAAAGTGACTAAATACTACAAGTACATCTCTTTAGCAAAAAGCTACTGTAAAACACCAGTCAGTTCTAGATTTGAGAATACATTGATAATAGGCTATTCTGAGTTCGCTTTCAGGGTGTATTTAAGGAAGTATTTACTAAACATCTGAACAGTAAGATCACAATTATTTGCAATATGATTTAACGATCACTACTTGGAAACATCAGCAATTTAACATCAGTAAAAGACAGATTTCGCGGATAAATATTTTTTACTCGTAATGGCAATTCTGTAATTAACTGTAATTGTGTTTGATAAGACCATTTGACCAGCAGACATCAAAACAAATGTGGGATTACCGATGAGGACGTTTGATTCTTCTTATTGGGAGTACATTTCAGTAGATTACGATAAGTATTATTATTAACCATTAGAAATTATTTAATGTGTTGTTCCAGAAATTTAAAAAGTTGAGTAATAAGTACGGTGTAAAACTTGTAGGGTTACTTAATGTAAGTCAAAACAAACAAGATGTTGTAGACTGTCAAGATCGGTCAGGAAATAATATACATCCGTAGTCAGAGAGATCACTAAACATATGTAATATTTCCAACAGAATCAGGGATTATTATGGATAAACTTATTACTCATTAAAAATTGCAGTGACCAAACAGGGTTTCATTAAGTTATGAGAAGGGAATTTATGAAGTGAAATTTGTTTAAAAAATATAAATTAGGAATAAAAGCTACTTACGTTGCATATAAGTGACAAGTTATAGAGGTCAGACGTATGAAACTGCAGCCAATCGTCAACTGAACCCAGTGACCCCACAGCTGAATTAAAACAAAGATGATTAATCAAGGCCAGTGCTAGGCACGAAGGACGAAAGCATGATACTTCTGAGGAGACTAGAGCGATTTCGATCTGACGACAAATAGAAATAGGGACAGGCAACCAAGTGTTTTGACTTCCAGATTTATTCTGATAAGACACAAACGGAATGCCGAACGATGAGAAAATGGACAGGAAATCAATAGCTGTAGCTGAGCATGCACCGATAGCAGCAACGCTGGAAGGTCCCAACTTTGTAAGGATAATTTCCACCATTCGCGTCAGATCAGCAGCTGTGCCGCCACATCGTGATAGCGTTACAAGGCTTTCGGGTGTAGGTGAAACGTGGTCCTACAAAATAGTACGACAATAATATATTTAAAACAGTACAGAATAAACCAGCAAAAAATATCTTGAAATTTATGCAATAAACTACGGTCAGATGAAACTGTCTCACTGTCTAGATGTCATAAAGGGATAATTCTGAAGCTAGGATAAGTGGATGAAAAAGCGAGACTCAAAATAAATATTCTAATATATTATGTGAAAGATTGTAATTTCGGGCAGTAAATGGATAATTAACACGTAGGTGAGCAACAAAATGAAACGTAGGAATCTTCACCATACTCAAGTGTTAACGTTGATCACCTTTCATAATTAGTATCGTAAGTGAATAAATATGACCAAGTTATTTAGATCTTTAATCTGAGACTGCTTTATACCGGAAAGAACTTAAGGTAGCAACAACAAAATATAATTGGATGGTCTAAGTTTTTCTAAGTTTTACAGTTATCGTTGGTAGTAAAAGTACGACCATCCGTAGGTCAATTGTGGATGTGTAACATCAGTATGCAAAAGTAAAACAGACAGCAATAACTGCACATCTAACTCGACTAGAATTTATTTACAAAAAACAATAACCTTAAATCCCTTTGTACATTTTACTGAGTTTTCATAAAGGAAACGAGCAGATGTCTAATGACATCACACCAAGTCTACTCAGTGGCATCAAAAGGTTAGATAAGCGGACTATAAGATGAAACCTTACAAAAAACAAAGATTTTACGAACGAAGTATACCAGTTAATTCAATCGTGGTATATGGTTTCCAGGAAAACGTACTTATGCGCAAAATACTTTAATAGAGTTTAACAACTTAAGTAATAATTAAATTCATGATACATGCTCCATCGTATACTGTAAAATCAGGCATTTAAAAGTCTGTATACATACTGGTTGGACTTTTAAAACTATACTTACGGATGATCTCTCGAACTTGGAAGTGATATAGTAGCATGCAGCGGCCACGCACATTGCGTACTTCGGTTTAACCTAAATAGTCATTATATACGAAAAAGATTACAAACTTACTTTGACTTTAGCAACCAGTAAATCCATCAAACACACTGCCTTGCAGAATATAATGGAGGAAAGCGAATAATAGGCGCTATGTAAGGACCATAGTTTGAACAAGGTTTCTGCTCTCAATGCTGCGTCAACCTTATCATCCAAATCCTGAAGGTATTATAGCACAGAAGTGACAGCTTACTGAGTTCACAGCTAGTAAGTGTTCGTTATCAATATGAAGTAATTTTTCTTGGGACAAAGAAGAGAATAATTTTTCCTCAATAGCATAGTAAAACTAAAAATTGTACGGGAGGCTCAGTAAACTTACTGCTTGGCATCGAATGCTTGGAAAGTGTGTTGGTATGTAAGGACTGGAGGCTTGTAGTGAAAGACATTGGCCAGGATTAAGGTCATTTTCAAAAATTTTATAATGACTAGGAGAAATTTCTTGATGTGACTCCGAATTTGTCTCAGAAACTTCCAGACGTTTTTTCAGACGGCGACCTTTTTTGGGGGACTTTACAGGTGAAATCACTGCTTTAGGTACATTAATGGTCGGCGCTCCGAAGATCCCCATCGTGTTCCTTGAGCTTGTTACCATCATTGTGCCAAACAGACTAAGGATGTTAGAGAACCGGGTTTAAAAACAAAGGTATGGAAGAGTTCGAGATCTGATTGGCCAACTAGAAGTGACCTTGACGTACAGAGCAGCTGATGCAGCAGACATTTTACCTTTGGAAGTTAATGTTACAAACAAGAACAATGTACCAAAAACTTATCATGTAATTCCATGGTACATGGAATTCAGTCTGATGCAAAACTATTTCGAAAATATCTTGTTTATGTCTAAAATCTATAGTCGAGTTTCTGAACTACCCTATTTTATAAGTGAGCTCCGAAGATGTACAGAAAATAATCTATATCTAATTTTAAATTAACTTCGATGCATGGGTGATCAGGCTGATCAGAGGACCGCTCACTTTTTACCTCTAATTTAGTAAAGAGAATTAGTAAAGTGCTTATTCCTTGGGACTGACCTTGAGTGGTAAAAGTGCAGTCTTCATTACGGACAGGCATGAATCTTAATATATCCCTACTAGAAACCAGTTTGCAAAACAACTTAGTTGTTGTTAGGAGTGTTCGAGGAGTAAAGTTCAAGCAGTCCCCCCCCAGTGCCCACAGATCCAAAGTTATCTTCGAATCTCTTTTGGAAGATTGAACTAAGGGTACCATCACTATGGCTTGCTGTTAAGAGTTTTATGATTTACTGATTTGAACCCCGAAAAAGTTCGGATGAATTTTTATGAGCCATTCCGTGTTGATGTCCTTTCTGTGTGCACCTTGTTACAGAAAATTACCATTGGTCGATTCGGATGAAGAGAATTGCGTGCAGCATAATACATCATGATCATGACTCCCCTAATCCTCCTATATTGAACTGGGTGTAAATTGAAGACCTACGACGGATCGAGGTGTGATTTATTTTTATACCCATGTAACATGTTTCGCACTATCTTAGTACTAATGGTAATCAAGAAGGTAATTGTCTCATTCGTGATAACCACTCAGAGACTGACCTAAGAAGAGAAGATAAGACACCTCACCGGTGGTTCTGTAAAAGAGAGGGTTGTGGGCAGAAAACTTTCGTTTTTTTCCGGTGTTAAAGTAATAATGTAACTGAATCCAAAGACTGCATTAGTTGCACTGGTATTTTCCTAGACTCTCTGAGTATGCGTTACACTTCTGTCTGAAGACGTACTCAAATCGTGCAACACTTATGGAATCCAACCCTCTTACATAGCTAACGTTATTGTTACAGCCAATGAAACGACGAGTGTAGAGGGGTGAACAGTGTATGTCAGAGTCACATCATATTAAGCACATTTGTTTTGTCAAAACAAAGTCTGACTTTGTAACCGCCAAGACAAAAGAGATGCCCAAACTATCCAGCCGGTGGTCGTGTTCTGAGTGATATATAAAGTTGGCCAACTACGAGAAAAGGGTAAAAAAAGCAAACTTTGTAACTTTAAGTCTGCAGTGACTGGCCAGTCTCGATAAGAACATGATTGGAATAACGGAAACAATTATTATTATTGTAACCAATTGTACCAGAGATTGTTTTACTGTATTTGATTAACTGTATCAGTTTCACTTCTTGTTTCGCTCTCCGCCTTGTTTGGTTCGAACTTGCTCAAGCACTGCTCATTTTGCCTGTACTCTTTGGCACGTCTCGGTATTATTTCGATACCACGAGATCGCCAATAAATATACTTGATCTGGATTAATAAAGCTTTCTGATTTACGAGTTATTAAAGGAACCAAGTCGTTATTGGGCACGTAATCGAATTGTAGTGGTGATCATAGTCCGTCTTCGACTCGACATTCACTACAAACTGGTGAGCCGTATTGGGAACACGCACAACATCTGGTGAACCACATCCAGTAACCCAATTCTTCGAGCACAGTTCAAACTTGGCCATTTTTCCAACCCAGATCAATTCGGTGAGTCTGTGTATCTATCCACTTCTGTTGCATATATTCGTATTGATATTTTCAATATATAATATCTTGGCAACTTACTATGGTGGATAACGATAAGAATAGTATAAATACTATAGACTCCGAGGTACAGGCTATTAATTTTCGACCGGTTCCTTTCATCCCTCATGATCCAGAAGTCTGGTTCGCGGCACTGGAATCTCAATTTGAGATCCGCCGCATAACCAACCAAAGGCAAAAGTACGCCTATGCTTTGGAATCATTGCCCGGGGATCACCTAACTGCTGTTCGTGAGGTTGTCCTCAATCCGAACGTTCCGAACGTTTACGACCGTCTTAAGGATACCATCCTTTGACACTTCCTTCCATCAAGAGAGGAACGATTGAGGACTCTATTAGCACGTCACCCTATGGGTGATGCTAAGCCGAGCCACCACCTCAAGCGCCTGCAATCCTTTGCAGGAAACTCGACAGCAGACTCCGAAATAGTCAAAGAGTTATGGTTCGAAGCATTACCAGCTAGTATCCAACCAACTCTTACGGCCCTGCTCGAGGACACCCCACTGAACAAGGTGGCCCTCATAGCAGACAAAATTCTAGCACGCGCTAGCGTCAAAGATAACTATATCGTTGCCTCTACTTCTCGTTCAAACATGGATTTTGATGCTAGACGACCTTCGGCTCATGGGGATAGGGACAGATGTATCCATACTCGTCTCAGTTTCCGAGACCGCTCAAATGTGCCAGCCCCCTACGTCCCCCGACCCAGGTCACAATCTCGAAAAGCCGTAACGACTCGCCTCAAGCGGGCATCTTCCAAGCCACGCCAGAAGGCGGCTTCGGAAGCGAGTCCGAGTTGGTGCTGGTTCCACCGTGCCTTCGGGGCCGGTGCCCGTCATTGTCGAGCTCTCTGCTCATACAAGGCGGGAAACTCCCGAGCCGGTGAGTAAATACGGCCGTACTCACCGGCCCTTCACCTCAGTTTGACCGTTTATTTTACATGCACGATTATCGCACTAACGCTAGGTACCTAGTGGATACGGGTGCCCAAGTTTCTGTCGTACCTATCAGTAACAGTAAGTCTCAAGCTACGATGCTTCGACTACGCGTTGCGGATGACTCAGTCATTCCTAACTATGGTACACGACAACGTACGGTCAATCTGAGCAAACAGTCTTACGAAGCCCCTTTTCACGTGATTTCCCGTCACGAAAAGACCTTCAAGGTCGATCGACATGGCCGCGTCGAAGTAGCCAGCATTGATCGTCTCATGCCATCACATGTCGATGACAGTGCCCTACCTGATAAGCCGAGACCCAATGCTAGACCCGTCAAAGCTTCTAGCGGAATCTCTACATCTACTTTGGATCCCACGCTAGATGCACCTGAGACCTCATTCTCACGTCCCAGTCAACAGCGCGTATCATTAATAAGTACTTAGTACAGAAATGCTTTTCCATTTTATGAATACTTTTTTTCAAGTATCAGTAAATTCTCATCAGCATGTTGTTTTAAAATATAATTTTCAGTGTTGTTTAAAGTAAGCAACACTCATCAAAGATAATCTGAACTAAAAGATTAACTTCAACGGAGCTGAGAATCGAATCATTAGGGCGAAAATGTATCAGGCACACAAGTTCTTAGACTTATCCTTCCTCTTTAAGCATTGAAAATTCTTGGATTACGTAACAATTGTAATAATAATAAGGCGATTGTACATTACGTTCAAGAGTCACAAACGCCCCACAATGATGAAAATTCCCCCATATTTTATCATGATACGTTTATCAATCTGTTATGCAATAGCAGTGATTATTGTGGAATTGATCTTCCTGGTTATGATTGTCACTTAATTACTTGCCAACTTATTCCTCTTACGCTCCATAGAGTGGCGTATGTCGTTTACCAGTCTTGTCCTACACGTGTTGGTAGTAATTCAGAGACCCATCAATGACAAAGAAGGAAAGACAATCACGGAGATTGAAGAACAGATGAAAAGATGGCCAGAATATTTCAGGAAACTGCTGAATATACCAGCTCCATTGAATCCACCGGACATCGAAGCAGCACACACACACCTTCCTATGGATGTCACCTCACCAACGATCGAAGAAATGAAGATGGTCATCAGACAAATGAAGAACGGGAAAGCAGCAGGAGTCAGACATTGAAGTATATGCAAACATAATTCACCTTCTATTCAGGAAGATTTGAAAAAGGAACAAGTGCTGGCGGACAGAAAAGAAGGACACCTCATCAAGATATCAATGAAAGGTGATCTGAGCAGATGACGTAGCTGTTCCATCTCATACGCACGAACAAACACAGCTAACATCAACTAGTGTAGCAGCAGCCTCTGAATCGATAGACATCAACATACAAAAATGAAAGAGCAAGATCCACAAATACAACACGGAGAACATCAACCCAATCACACTTGATAGTGGACTTCTGGATGACCTGGTATCTTTCGCATACCAGGGAAGCATCATCAATGATAGTGGAGGATTGGATGCAGACGTAAAGGCGAGGCTTTTCAAAGCAAGGGCCGTATTCCTACAATTTATGGACATATGGAACTCAAAACAATTATCAGTCAATATAAAAGTGAGAATTTTTAATACAAACGTCAAAACAGTCCTGCTACTACTACAACCATCGTCAAGAAGGTACAAGTGTTTATAAACAGTTGTCTACGCAATATACTCAACATCCATTAGCCGGATATCATCAGCATGAGCCTACTGCGGGAGAGTATAAACCGGCTTCTGGAAAGACATCGGAAATGGATAGGACATACATTGAGGAAATCACCAAACTGTATCACGAGAAGCGAAAAAGAGCAAGACCAAAGAACACATTATGCTGAGAAATAGAGGCATATATTGAAAGAATGAATAACAACTGGAAAGAACGGGAAAGGATTGATTCTGAAAGGGTTCGATGGAGAGCGTTGGTTGCAGTCTACGCTTGTCCACAAGGGTTACACAGGCGTGAGTATGTAAGTGTGTAAGCCCTATTCAATATTATATTTGGAGTAAAACATCGAATTCTCATCGCAAAGTACTTCAACTAGTTCCCGTTTCTTATTTCTTGATCAATTTTG